CAGCCTGTAAATCACGGTTCGTCTGGGCTTTGGAGGGGCCACGAAGATTTTTCCCTGAAAGCAAGTCAAGGCCCCTTGGGGGGGCGGTGGTGGTGGTGAGTTGCTAAGGCTTTTCAAGGGCCGGGTGGTTCTCTTCCCCCCCTCCCTCAAACTTCTGTTTTAATATTTCCTTTGAGAGTGCTTGGCCTCTCCTGTCTCTGCTTTTCCAGCCGCCTCTACCGTCTGGGCTTTGGAGGGGCCACGAAGATTTTTCCCTGAAAGCAAGTCAAGGCCCCTTGGGGGGGCGGTGGTGGTGGTGAGTTGCTAAGGCTTTTCAAGGGCCGGGTGGTTCTCTTCCCCCCCTCCCTCAAACTTCTGTTTTAATATTTCCTTTGAGAGTGCTTGGCCTCTCCTGTCTCTGCTTTTCCAGCCGCCTCTACCAGGGTCTCTAGGGTGGGAAGTTTTGAGCTATATGGCTTTTTTTCCCACAGGGTTGCTAACTCAGCTCTGCTAAGCACTTGGGCTGGCATCGCCCTCACCCTACCAGCTGGCGCTCGGGCCGGTCCGAATGAGAGATCCGGAAACGTTGTTTGTTGGGGGGTGGGGTCAGGACATAAGGAATGGGGAGGAAGAGGGGCCCTGAGCTTGGCCACGCCGTGGTGGAAGAGAAGCACTACATCCAGCAATTCTCCAAGCCTTCTGATCTCTAGCCGACAATCGTCTGCGTGCATCTGGAACCCGTGTATTCCAACCTGGGGTCCCCAGATGTTCTTTGGACTACAATTCCCAGAAATCCTGGCCAGCAAAGCAAGTGGGGAAGGCTTCTGGGAGTTGCAGTCCAAACCCACCCACCCCATCCCGGGGACCCAAGGTTGGGAAACGGTCTGCCCTGCCTTAGGTGGTCAAGGCGGACCGTGTTCATCTTAGCCGTAGCCCAGGGTGGTTGGTTGGCTCCTTAACCTTTGACCCTCTTTGTCAATTTCCATTCCCAGAATTCCCCCCCCCCTTCAGCCTTACTGGCTGGGCCTTCTTGACCTCATACAAATGCTCTAGCAACTGAGTTTTTCTCTTATTTTAATTTCCTCGAAAGCTGGTCTCTAGAGTGCCTTTTACCACAGGATGGTTCTGGAAGCAAAGGGACATTGACACCCCCCCCTCTTAAATCAGCTCATAGGGATCACCACCACCACCACCATCCCCGTTTATAACGGTAAAATCGCAGATTTCCAAAACAGGCAAGCAAAGCTGTTCTACTTTTACGTGATAACGGCTAGTTTTAAGTTAAAAAAAACCACACACAGACCCTGGGAATATGTTTAATTTGTCTCCCAAGTTTTCCTGTTTTACTGTCCCTGTGTAGAATATTCTAACCCAACCTCCTTTTTCCATGATACCATCACTGTACCAACTGTATTTTAGAGACTGTAAACTTTTATCATCTCTCTCTCTCTCTCTCTTAAATGCTAATGCTGACGGTTGTGAACTTTTCTTTTCCTGATGCAGTTTGTAGCCATCATGGGTCTAACATTTCAGATGTGTATATTGTTAAATAGGTCAAGTTTGGGAAAACCTGAGCTACAATAAATTTCTGGATCTAAAAACAATAGTAGTTCTACTCTTTTCTCTTTTGAAGCTTTGCTGAGCCTGTATAGAAATAGAGCATTTCTCGTTACTCTCACTTCTGTGATTAGGTATTTGTGACTACAGTTCTCATTTCCAGCCTCCAAGGACCTCTTAAGTTATTCTGTCCACCCTTCCCAGAACGATTTTGTACCATTAGATTAAATTCTGTTTTGAAAAGATGGCCTATGTGTGGAAAGGTATTGCTTGAGCATGGAAATGTCAGCTGGTTATCTGGCCACAACCAGATAACCAGCTGACAACTGTTGTTCTACTTCCACAGGCTTTGGAGAAGTCATTTTGCTAAAAAAAATAAGAAGACTTGAACGCGATGACCAAATATATCTATATTTGCACCTCCGACAAACACTTAAAATTGTTATGTAAACATTTGTAAATGGAATTCTTTGGCTTAAACAGTACAGTGTCAGCTTATATCTAGTACCTCCGTTCAGTGCCACTTTCGCAGATCTTGGCAAAATATTTACATTAAAAAAAACTGACCATACTTCTGCTTTGTAAAGCACCGATTGTAGCTCCCAAGTGAGTCCGTTGTGATCTTGGCCTATCGGATAACACGAAAAGACAGCTACTTCTGATAATCTGTATCTCCCATCCTGGCATGTCCAGAAATCTGGCGAAAACTTTGACATCTGTCCCGTTTTACCTTTTGACTGTTTCGTGCTATGAACCTTAAAAGAAAATCTGTCCAGCCTTTAAGTGGCGACTAAAACATTGTCAACTGGAAACCTCCCCCACCACCACCACTGTGACCTGGCTGAGCGAATTCAAGTTACGCACTTCTACTAAAACGCTTTACGGATGTTTGTGTTTACAGATTCTCCCCTGAACAGGCAGGAACAACTTTGGGGGGAATTCTGACGCTACAAAAATGCAGCGTAAAAGCATCCAGAGACGAGAGTCCAGGAGGTAGTTTTAAAGAGGAAAGGTGTCTACTTTTCAAACGGCAATCAATGTATGCTGGCGTTCCTAATCTCTTGGGGAGCTCACGGGAGTTGTCGTTCAGCACAACTGGCAGATTTTGGCTTTTAAGACTTGTTTGGTTCCAGGTCTCAGTAGCTATGGGCAATGTGGTTTGTCTGCTTTTTGACCGATCTCTTGAGTGACAACCACGAGTCATAACAGTGAACTCACACAGTATCTGTATCATTTCTGGCTAATTTTAGAAAGAAATATGAAAGACGAACACAGGTACCATTACAAATCCTCCTTTTTCTGTCCTTTAAAGCAGCGGTCCCCAACTTTTTTGGGACCGCGGACTGGCCGAGCCTCGGAGGAAGGTGGAGGAGTGCTCACGCTGGGACGCACGCGCGTGTGCAAAACAGCTGTGGGGAGGAGGGGCAGGAGGTCTGTCTCTGCGGCCCGGTCCAGCTCAGGCCATGGACCAGCACCGGGCCGCGGACCACGGGTTGACAACCTCTGCTTTAAAGAGACCGGCTCTTTTTTTGGGCCTGGAGGTTTTCCACACGACCAGCAAACAAACATCAAACACGTCCACTCTATCGCTATAAAACATTTCACATACACACCGCAGAAAGTCATTCTTCAAAAGCAGGCGGCTGCAGACAAAGGGCGAACCAACTGTTCTGTTAGCTCTCTTTCTTCCTGCGTAGGTAGCCAGGCCAAGGGCCGACCCTGTCCCGAACTCGCAGCTCCAAGCAAAAAGACATTCCAGGGCACCGTCTCGGAACACTATCCTCTGCAGTCGGGTGGGCGTTACGGGTTGCCTCCTGGCAGAGGAGAAGCTCCCCACCTGGCCACTTCAGGCTAACAGGCAAAAAAGAGAGAGGTAAACCTGTCTTCAAACCATCCCTCTGCAGGACGAAGGGGCTCAGCTACTGCCGATTGTCTTTGGAAACATTGTGGGCCAGCCAGTTCACTTTGGTTTTCCAGCTTTCCCGCAAGGCTTCGTTAAACTTGAGCTGGAATTGTTTCCTGGCCTCTTCGTCGGTCTTCCCTAAGGCCAGCGAGTCCTAAAGGGAGGTGGTGGGAGGCTTAAGTTAGAGAAAAGGAAGGGCGAAGGTGTGCCTTGTCTAGAGAGGCATAGGTTTGTGGATGGCATGCACTGTGTACAGGGGCTGGCAAATCCAGCCCCAGCACCTCTGGAGACGATGGTAGCACGTATTTGTCCCCCATAGTTTGAAGAGCTGTAATTTAATCGGTGCAGGTATTAATGCTGCTCTTGGGTGGGTGGGTGCATGTGGGATTATGATTCTTTGCTCCAAGTTCTGTACCGCTTCTTAAATTTTACAATTATCTTGAAACAGTGTGGAAAGGCTTTCTAAGGTTTGAACTGCTTCGAAAAACATTAAAATGCCAACCTTACTACACAGCATATTAAATACTCAGTTAAAACCCTCCGGAGCTCAGATATTTTAAATCAGAAGCTCAAGACCAAAGAGAAATGAACCGAGACATATGTAAATGCTTGCGTAGGCAAGTAACTGTCCACCGCTGGCATTTTTCGTCCCCATTTCTCTCTCTCTGTTTCTCACCTTAAGGTACTGGATGTCTTTGGAACAGCTCAGTTCCGGCAGTCCAGCTGCTTTCATTAGTGCAAAGAGGTGCAGGAAGAGGAGGCCGTGGCATCGCAGGATCATGTAGGCTGTTTCGCAGTACCCTCGGAATCTGTGGGAGAGGCAAGCGAGCGTCAAAAGGGAAACGGCGCTGGGAAATATAGCGCTGTCCCTCACCCAAACTCGGCAAAAGAAGGACTCAAGAGCCGAACGCTTACCGTTCAAACTTCTCGCTGTTGTTTGTTTTCCCTTGCTGGATCACGTGGACAAAATCATACGTCAAGATGAAAGGAACCCGCTCACGGTTGATTCCGAATTTCGTCTTGAAGTTTCCCAGGAAGTGGCCGAAATCAATGTGGAACAGCTAAAAAGCAACATTAGGAGGGGGTTGAGTTTGGATAACGCGCCCATCGCTTAAGAGCCATTTCGGCTTCCGCCCAGATTTTTTTCATTTGAGCCACCTTCTTTAAAAATGGCCAGGAAAACTAAGAAAGCCTCTTACAAGGCAGCATTTTCTGCTGGGTTTTCATGTTTTTAAAAATAAGGCGACGCGTTCTGCCAGACCTTTGTAAACTACACAAAGATCTAGGTCGTTCTGCATAATTGTTTCTGCTTTTTCTTTTTAAAAAAAGGCTATTTTATCTTTTTCATTCTATATCTGATCATCCTTGAAGAACAGCCAGAAGACTGGCAGATGCCGAATCCATGCAGACTTTATATCTCCTGTCTGTTTCCAAGTACAGTTCGAACTTAAAATACAGCGCAATGTGGTGTTTCCTGGGCAAGTTGTAGTGGCCAGGAGGGGAAGGTCTGGCTGATGGGAATGGCCATCCCATAACCTCTGGAAGGCCACACCTGCACAGGGTGGGTTCGGAGGTTAAAGACACCGTGGTGTCACTCCCACAAAGGCACTCCAGGTTCTCCTTGGCCCCGATCCCTCCGTACCTGGCCGTTCTCCCGGATCATGATGTTGTCACTGTGACGGTCACCAATCCCCAGCACGTACGTGGCCACGCAGTATCCGGCGCAGGAGAGCGTGAATTCCTCGATGGCTCGGTCAAGAGCCTCGCTACGAAAGACCGGGGAGAAAAGCATGGAATAAATCTGCACCCCATTTTAACTCCTCTGAAGACCACATGGCAGGAATCAGCTAGGGAGGGGCCTGCTCCACGGTGGCCCCTTCCAGCACAGTCATCTTTGCCGAGACTGCAAAACGGTAGGCCCACGGAGAAGGAGGATAAGCCCCAGAAAAGCTTACAAGCCGTCTGAGAACCTACCCAGGATTCTTGGATTTTAGCCAGTTCAAAAGGGCATCCTTGTTGAAGGCGGCGGTGGCCGCCATATTGCTTTTGTTGAGTTGGATGTTGGCGATGGTGTCCGAGTTCATGACCACCTCGATCAGCCCCGTCTTGTCTCCCGTGGAAAGGCAGCCATAAGGGGTCATTCTGTGGAAGACAGAGAGGCAGATGGGACCCCACCAAGCCTCGTTAAGAAGGCGGGTGGCCCCAAGGAGCCAAAGTCAGAGGTATGGTTCAAGACGGGATAGGGAATCCAGATCTGAAGGCGCAAACGGGGCTCAGAGGAAGGTGAATGAATGCATTTTATTTTCATTTTATTTTGCATATATTGTACACCAGGTCGCTGGGGAGCCTCAAGATAGGTTCAGTTTTAAAACAAGATCAAATAACATAAATTAACCTTTTAAATAAAGGCAAGTCATGGGCCGAGACCCAAGGGAGAAAATCGTAAGAAGCCGAGCAGGAAGCTGAAGGAGTCTTATTCTGCAAAAGGCAATCAGTTCAAAAGACGAGGGTTACACCTTTATAAGGCCTGCTGAAGAGGGATTGGCTGCCCATGTCAGGTGACGGAATGTTCAGACACCCGCCTGGGAGTGCTCGGTTCTACCACTCTCCCCCCACCCCCACTGGGTCCAGGAGAGGGTCAATTTAACATTAAACAGAAATGTTTAGTGTTAAATTGACCCTCTCCTGGACCCAGGGGCCAAAGCTTTCCCACCTCTCTCTGGGGTAGGTTCCTCTAACTGGCGCCTAGTTCCTGACCTGTCCCAAGACGACCAACCCACCTCAGGTCTAGGCCTTCTTTCTTCCACAAGATATCCATGAGCTGGATCATTTGCAGGGTCAACATATCCTGACGAAGGTCTGTAACGATAATGAAAGGCAAGCCCATTTCACCCTTTATTTATGCATCTCATCGTTTCTCCAAAACTCAGCTTTTCTCTGTCTGATCAGAGACACAATGCCATTAAGACGGCAACTTTTGCCTTGGTCCTGGGTTTTTTTTGTTTTTGGCAAGTCCACACGGAGGCGATCGCTTCGCATATTTGGGTACGGAGGTGCCCCCACTGACTCACTGCGGAGAAAAAAGCTGATTTTGCAGGTCTGAAAGCCCTCTTAGGAAAGCCCGTGGGGGGCTTGAACAAAGAAACCACGTGTTTCCCCTTTGCCCCTTTGAAAACAGGCATTTGTCCCACGAATAGATTTTAATTGATTAATCAACTTTGAAAGTCATTGGGTTGCAGTTGGATGTAGTTATGACGCATTAAACCCACCAGCCAGCGAGTGCAAGATGGGGGCCTGAAACAGCCACGCTCACGAAATCCACACAAAGACCAGAAAAGCTGGCCTGTGAACCTCTGGCCAAAATGATGGGGGGGGGAATTTCTTTGTTTTTCCCCCCAAAGCTACCCCAAAGCTCTCTGCCATGCCCAGCTTGTGGAAGAGTTCTGTGGGACCCAAAAGCTGGCCGGTTTGCGACGGTTTGGTTATCCAACAAGGATATTGCCCATCATTATATGTGAACTTTTGCATGACATCCACACAGTCTTTTTTCCTTCGTGTTTTTTTTTTTAAATGGTTAACACGTTCCTTCGAAATTCTGCTCAAAACCGGCTGGCTTTCCTCCAGGGATGGCTTTCGAAGGCTCCCCCACCGAGTGCCTGCACCCTACATGCGGAAGTCATACCAAAGTGCACAAAACTTTTCCAGATAATTGGGTGGGGGGAGAGAGAGAGAGAAATAAATGAGAGCTTTTCCAGCTATAAAGGGACCGCGTGAAGCACTTGGGCCCATACGAGAGGTTCAGACCAAGCCCCCTCCCTCCACCGGCAGGGGGGGGGGAGAGACGCTTACCATCTCCATTCTTGAAGATGACACCCACGGTGCTTCCCCCCATCTCCTCGTTATTAAAAACAATCCACAGCGGCTTCATCTTTGAGTCCATGAAAGTGCAAAGGTCCACGCTGGAAGTCAAACACAAACACCAGCCTTTTTTTTTTAAATTAAAATAAAGTCTCAGTCCATCCAGAAACAGAGGTGGCGACTTGCATGTGAACCACGATGCAAATAAAGGATTTCTTTCTTTCTTTCTTTCACAACAATAAAATACTGGGAGTCAGAATACTGAGCCATGAAACCCAGCATCCTCTGCCTCAGGAATCAGTGGATCAATGAAACAGCGGTATCCATAGGGGATCGGGTTCCCCTCCCACCCCACCCCTGCAGACGCTGAAGAAGACAGACCTATCAAAGGCACTACAATGGTGTCCGACTTCCTCTAGTGGCCAGTTTTGGTAAATAAACTCTGGATATACATATCAATACATATTTAGTATTTTCAGGCAGTGGATAAGTCAATACATATTTCAGGGGGGCGTTATTTAGTTTTTTCAGGCAGTGGATAAATGAATCAGTGGATATGGATCCACAGATTAGGGGGGTCCTGTTTTTTGTGGAGGAGTAACCCATTAATACACCCCATCAGATGGAAACCCCCTCCAAAAAAACCCCACCAGCGACGGCTCTGCCAGAAACAGGGAAGCATCCACCATCATCATCCCCACCTCCCGGGTGCAAGGCAGCCCCCCTCACCTCACTTTGGCCAGAATGACGCTGGGGTTCAAGGGGGACTGGAGGTTGGAGAGGGCTTCGAGGTAAGTCTCTTGGCGCATACAGGTGTGCATAAACTCCTTGGTTTGAGGCTTGGTGTTCTTCTGGGCGCTGGCTTTGATGATGTCGCTCAAGGCTTTCATCTTGTTGAGGGCTTCGATCTGGAAATCCACGGCACATACAAAAAAAATTGGTTAATTGGTGCACATGCGCACACACCCGTAAGCATGGAGGAAGTAGGGCGGGATCCATGGAAAACCCTCTCCAGTGTGAGGGGGAGACACCCAGGGTGAGAACGACGGGGCGGTTAGAAAGAGCCTCCACCACTCATGGCAGTGTACCTTAGGGTCTAATTATTAAGAGGCTGGGGAGCTTGGCATCCGCCTCGTTACAGCCCCAAACCCGGCCTTACCTGTTTCATCAGCGCTTTCATGTGGTGGATGCTGCCTCGGCAATAAGCTTCCAGGATCAAACCAAACTTTATGGAGACAGAAGGCACGTGCATTTCTGATCTTCAAGACGTGGGTCAAAGAGAGAAAGAAATTTGTGTGGGGGGATTTTAAAAAATGAGCCTTAAGGAGAAGGCTAGATCAACTTTTCCTTGTTCGGGGGGAAAGCTGGCAGCCAGAAAATGGCCATCGATTTAGGGGCAAAGTAAATGGGGAGTTAGAATGTACGACTTCCTGTTTTGTTTGGGGAGGAAAAAAAATAAAATACAATTCCAGGGAGAGCAGTTTTGTGGTTAAACTCCATTCTCCTATGTGCTGTGGGTCGGAGGCTCCCCTCTTGCTATTAGTAGGTATAAATGGACCAAGAAAAAGGAAGCCATTTCTTTATCGCTATGTCTACTTTGGTAGTTAAACAGCTTTAAAATCGAATTAACACAGCCTGCTCATAGATATTACGATCATTCCCAGGCATTATTGGACTTCCGCTCCACCTTGTAGGACCAAGGAGCGAAGAATTCTGAAATCTGAAGTCTTCACAAGATGCGGAGACCCCAGTTGTTAGAAATGACTGGGCCTATTGTAAAGGAAGGAGCCTCCAGAGTCCATGGCAGTGTACCTTAGGACCTAAGAGGACGAACAAGACAGGCGGAAGGACAGTGCGTGGTCTTTTCTTTAAGGAGATGCAATTCCCAAGCTTTGTCTGCAAGGGCGAGGAACCATTGGGCAGGATTGAAACTCTGCACGTGTTTTAATCGGGGCCAAGAAGGGTCAGCCTCGTTGCCCCGGAAGCTTTTCTCTTACCTGAGGTGCCAGAAAAGGAAGTGGCCTATTTTGCGATTCGACAAGGCCCGGTCCAAGAGGAACCTGGTCAATTCGCAGTCGAAATACGATTCGTATTTCAGCACCTGGACCAGCTGCAGGAGGTACTGGAACAGCTCAGCATCTCTACAGCAGGAGAATTAAAGAAGGCCCATGAGCTGATGGCAGGAGGACTGGTTTTAGCCAAACCCCCACTCCCCAGACTGGGGATAATGGGAGCTGTTGTCCAACTGAATAATAGATCTTTTTTAAAAAAAATACTTATTAAATCATTGTATCTGTATTAGAGCTCGGCCACCCCTCAATTAACCATGATATAAGGAGCTCCGGATTGTGTACAATTGTGGGTTGGTTTGTTTTTTTTTAATTACGTGGCCTTGTTTGATACGACTTTTCCTTCCGTAAGCTCAATAGCTCTTTGCTCCACTTTTATCATCACGGCAAACCCTGCGACGTAGGTTGGGGGAAGAAAAGAGTAGGTCTGGCTGAAGGTTGCCCACTGACGTCACAGCCTAGCGAGGACTCGAACTCAGATCTCTCTCGCCTCTCCAGCCAATGCTCTATAACCCCTGTGTGACACACACACACCCTTCATCATCTCCCCTACCGCCTGCCCGATGGGGCCTACTCAAAACGCTCACCGCGTTTTACTCACGTCAGCTTTTTCAGCGAGTTGACTGTAAAGGAACCCACGTAGCGGTCGGGGAAGCTGAAATCTAGCAGCTCAAGGGCACTGAGAACCGGCAGTTCAGGCCACGATTGAAGCAAGTGAATCATCTGTAAACAAAGGGATGAGGATCTGCCGGAACTGGAAGCATCTTACCGGTTGGGTGTCCGCCGTTCCTGATTTCTACCTACAGAAGCCTCCCTTTGCATCCTCTGCAGTTTGGCACCTTCGCGGAATTTGTTTGAAGCTAGGTTTTCTAGTCCTCATGATGCACTGACCTGCTTAAGACACCTAAGGACTAGCCCCGGAGGTTCCAACTGAGACCCCTCTCACCTGAGCAACGTCTTCGTGTTTATTCCACTTGGTGACCACCAGCAGCTTTGCCAGCGCCCCGGGGTAGTGGTCTCGGATCTGTTGCCTCATCTTCCACATGAGGTCCTTCTCATGCTCATACAGCTCGGTATGGGATCTGCGTTCCAGGATCTCCCGCAGCTGTTGCATCTGCACAGGAGGGTAAGCACAGGAGAACAGTTCCCATGACAAAGACAAAAAACAACAACAACCAAAAACAGGTTCTTTTCCTTCAGAAGTTGTGACGAGAAAAACAACAACAACAACAACAACAAAAAACAGGTTCTTTTCCTTCAGAAGTTGTCTATTTAGGCAATTCTGTGCTAACTATCCTGTCCTTAAATAATAATAATGGAAGGGTCGAACTACATACAGCATATAAAATGCTAAAAGGCATTAAGATTTCCAAAGACTGAGCTCCGAGCCTCTCTTCCACTCTTGAAGGCGGCAGGAAGAGAGGACACCCAAATGTGAGATGGACTGAGGCCACAAAGGAAGCCACAACTTTGGGTTTGCAAGAGCTGAGCAGGGCTGCTAATAATAAGGTATTTTGGAGGTCCCTCGTTCATAGGGTCGCTGGGAGGTGGGGGCGGAAGCCACTCGATGATACATAAGAACGCGTCACCTCTTCTGGGTCTTCCAACCCATAGCTGGGAGAGGGTTCGTTCCTTCCTTGCTCCAGGATCTGAAACACAGAAAAGACCCAACTGAGAAGCAGCCCTCTGAACAAGGGTTGCCCGTTTGTTGATCCACGCACAGGCTCGCCCCTCCCCCGAGCAGTCTGGAAATAAATAAAGGAAGTTGTTTATTCCTGAGTCACATCTTCAGTCCACACGGCCTAAGAGCCGCCCACCCAGATTTCAGGCAGGGGTTATTCTCTGTTCAAACCAGTCTCGAACATCTGCTTACAACAAACAGCATGCTCTCATAATAACCCTGAGCTAAAAAGAAGTGAAGTTCCTAGTCCTCAGGATTTTGGAATAACATTCTGATTTAAACAGGTCTGGAAAGGTGGTCATAAGTCAAGTTATCAGCAGTGAGTTGGAAGATTCAGATGGGTCTTTCTAAGTTCTGCTATCCAGTAGCTAACCCCCTTGGGAGATTATTTCGAAAAAAAAATAACCTCCACATAGCCTCATATTTTTGAGAACAGGCCTTCCCTGGGAGCTTCCAAATACAGTGGTGCCTCACTTGACGACGTAAATTCATTCCAGCGAAATCGCTGTAGAGCGAAATTGTCGTCAAACGAAATAAAAAACCCATTGAAACGCATTGAAAACCCTTCAATGCGTTCCAATGGGTTGAATACCTGCTCGTCGAGCAAAGATCCTCCATACGGCGGCCATTTTTTGGTGCCTGTAATGCGAGGAATCTGTCCCTGACACAGCGGGGAGCCATTTTCTTCAGCCAGCGGCCATTTTGAAACCCAACCGATCATCGCCAAGCGAAAAAAACCCATCTAAACATCATGAAGCAATCGCAAAAACTTCAGTGTTAAGCGGATTCGTCGTAGAGCAGGGTAACTGTCCAGCGGGGCACGTCTGTATGCTGAATGACACAATCCTCCCCATTTCCAACCAGCAAAAAAATTCACCCTTTATCTGTATGCTGAATGGCACAATCCTCCTCGTTTCCAACCAGCAAAAAAATTCACCCTTTAATTAAAGACTTCCACATTTAGCAAACGCAGCCAATTGGGGCAGATTTTGGAAGCTAAGAAGGGTCAGGCCTGGTTCAAACCAGGTTTGGAGACCCATAAATGGCCCGATAGGGCTAGGGAGAAAAATAAATTACGGTATGTATACCTGAGACCAGGGAAGGCCACTGCTGCCTGTCAGAGCTGGAAATACTAAACTCAATGGACTTTCTCTGAATATGGCAGATTCCTATACAACACTAGCAAAGGGTGCTTGAGCTACAAGGATCGGAGTTACAGCCCACCGACATCTGAAGGAACTAAAGACGTTCCTTGGCCAGACAAATCATCCTCTTCATACCTGTTCGAAGGATGGATAATACACCGGGTAGGATGAAATGCTCGGGAAACGGATGACCAAAGCTGCTGCGCTTTCGGTATTAGGATTGGTCTGGACGGTCCCCATGGGGTTCAAAAGCTCTCCTCTGTCATCTGGGAAAGCAAACGGGGAGCAAAGTTTCCACAATGAAGTCGGTGCCATCCTGTGGCAGAATCGATACATCACAAAGTCCTCCCCCTCGTTATATTCCGGCCTACAAGCACACTAGGGTTTTTTTTCCCCCACTTTGAACAAACAACACAATCGACTTTAAACAGAGGGCAAAAGAAATAATAGTAATTTAGAAGTGAAGCCTTGGAGTAAATTTTCAGGGCTGTGTTCATCTGTTTCCACGAAATTAAAAGAAAAAAACCCAAAGGATCACGTGCTTCAGTGGATGAAAAACCACTTCTTCGGATCCTAATATTTTAAATACTGGTGCTCTTTTGTGATGCCACCTGGTTCTACAAAACCTGATAAGCACAAGTTTCATTGTTTAAATAAAGGAGGAAAACACGAACACGGGGCTCATGGCTGTTGTCTGAATAAACACGGGGCGGTGTCCCCCCCACACACTTTTGCCTCCATGTTGAAAGGCACATTTAGGACACCCCCTCCACTCACCGGGAAACGAGGACCACATGGGGAGGGAGCACTCCCCAGCCTTCAGCTGGTCTTGGAAGTCAAACAGCATGACGTTGACCCAGGCAATGGGGCAATCCTGCCGTTGGGGGAGCAGGCGGAGAAGAGAGAGAGTCAGGCGGTGGAAGGGGGGCCACGGCTTTTCGATTCCACGGAGCGGAAGGCTGGCTGGAGAACTCAGCGGGTTGAGGTCTCTGGCTGCGGAGCCGGAAGTTGGGAGTTCGATTCCCTCCCCCACTTCCACTGGGCTTCCCGGGAGAAGAGCCAGCCTAGGTGGCCTTGGGCAAAAACTGCACCGTCCCTAGGGGGCCCCCCCCCCAAGAAGAAGGGAAGGGGAAACGCATTGGTGTCTTCTCTATCAGAAAAGCATCTCCAAGTCATATTCCCCCCCTCCATTTGGGGGTGGAATATGACTTTATGGCATTCAATTGTTATTATTAATTGTGATCAAGGACTAGAGATTTCTACGACAGGCAGCCGCACATATTGGCCTGCTAAAGACATTTATCTGGGTGCTCAACTTGCAGCCTCAAAACTGGAGAATTCGTTTTTTGATGATGTCTTCAAAATCTACCCAACCTGCACCGTCAGATTTTACAGTTTGAAATCCTAATTTTTCCAAGCTCAGTCTCAACCTTTAAAATGCGGATGAGACTGGAATGTGAAAGTACTACAGCTACTATAACAACCACCACCAAAACAATTAGTACCACTACTAGTAGTACAACTACTACTGCAATACTACTGCTTCTGCTTCTGCTGCTGCTGCTACTAGTGTGTGTGTGTTTTTTTAATTCACATCAACCCTGGTGTCCTATAATTATTGGGTATATTTTCCCCAAAGTGGTGTTCAATCCCTTAACCGCTTAGGTGAGACTGAGATGAAAGTTACACCGAAGCTGGTATAAAAACAATTTGTATGTGTGTGTGTATACACACAGACATAAAATTGTTTTTATACCAGCTTCTGTATAAAATATACTGTACACACAAATCCAGCCCTGTTTGATTTTTGCACCCTTTCTCAAAGGGATGACAAAAGGCCTTCCTTTCGGCAGCCTCCCCCCCCTTTCCACCCTGTTCTTTCAAGCCTTCTTGAAATGCAGTCAGAAAAAACCTGCACGGGGGGGGGGGGAAGGAGCCAGGAATGATGAGATATTTACTGGCCAAGGTCCCGAAAAGAGATGACTCAGCAGCCGAGAGAAGAGCTGTCGGATGACTCAGCAAACAGAGCCCAGAAAAATGCCGCCCCGTGGGGGGGGGCACGTGCATTTATTCTGCTCCAGCGTTTCCTGTAAACGTTCATGCCTCTGCTCCCTTTTTTTCCCTCCCTTGGGAGCGTGTGGTTTCAACCTTATCCCTTCCAACATCTGGAGTCGGAGACTCTTCCCAAGAACGGGTCAAATCTGCCATTTCGGCAAAGTGTCAAAAAAAGAGTGGTGGCCTCTGGAAGGCCGAAAAAGACTTACCGCTTTTTTAGACTTCTTCTTGGTGGATCTGGCTTTCTTGGTTTTCTCCACAACAGCATAGAGAGCCAAGCAGAGCCTGGCCATGCGAGGCAGGTCACAGACGTTGATCTCGAACTCAAGCCTCTGTCCCCACACGGGCTCGGAGCAGACACTGACCTCAGGGCTCGAAACCATCTTACAGAGCATCTCGTGTCCATGGTACAGACCGGCTTGGACCACCAGCTGAAAAGAGAAAAGGCGCCAAGAGCGAGTCAGCCGGAGGGTCGGTTCCATAAAAAATAATCTGAGGAAGGAGACCATGTCCCACGAAAGCTCACATTAAAATCTCGCAGTTAGTCTTCAAGGTGCCACTGCTTTTTTCTCTTCTGGATTTGTTTATTTTTCTTTCATTTTTGGCCTGGTGCGCTACCACGGACTAACATGGCGACAACTTCGAAAACGACAAGTTTTTCAAAAACTTCGAACAATAATGAATTACAAATAACTCACAATGACAAAACTCATTTTGTTACGTAATTCATTAACCATACAAGTTACTAAAGGGGAAGAAGGACGGTATGACACAGTGACATTTAAATGCAGGGTAGGAAGTGGGGTTGAAATTACTTCGGTGGTAAAACAAATAATGTTTTCTACTTACTTTCCAAAGAATTTTAAGGCATCTGTCGAAGCATTTTAACATTTTAAAATAGCATTAAAAAAAGAAAGCAACAAAAACGTTTTTAAAAAGGTAAAAAGTAACAAGCAATATAATGAGTTACCTTTCCCAAGATTTTAAGAAGAAATAACAATGGAGTACTTTTCAAATACAACAATTAGTAACAGGAATGAAGCATTCCTAGAGCCTCCTTTACCCATAGGTAAAAAGAGTTGAATCCTGAAATAGGACTGGATACCATCACATGACAGGCAAGGGATACTATTGCTGAACTTCCTGGAAGCAGAAACATAGCCCATCAAGGAACAATGCTCTAATTCCTTGCAGAGCTAGCTTTCTATAAGCAGGGAGATGCTGGTCCAGGATGTTTCGGTTTGCTTTTAAAAAAAGAATTAATACGGAAAAAAACATTCAAAAATGTGCCCGCAGGCAGTGTGAAGCTTCTAAGCATTTGCCTTCTGAACCCTGCTGATCAACATTTCTCCCGCCTTCTGCTTGCAGTGAGATATTTCCTGTGACCAAGCTACAAGTGAATGAAAAACTCTTATGTTGGCTTGCGGGGTGGGGGTGGGGGAATATTCACACGACTTTCGGCTTTTTGATCTAAGCTGTAAACAAGTCTGATGCAGGAGGGGAAAAGGTGCCCCCCCAACAGAAACGTAAGCGGAAGGGAGGGAGGGAGAAAAAAGCCCTTACCTTCATCCGTTCATCGGCATTCACCTTACTCCCCTGTATCAAGTCGATATAGTAAGGCTGCTCAAGGGACCACAGAGATACAGATGTTGGCTAATAACGGGAAGAAATGAGACCAGCGAGTTTAGCTGCGGTGGATTTTTTAAAAAGACCATTTTATCTACCAGAGTGAAAGAGGACAGAGATATATCCGGGATGAGATGTATCTCTGCCCACCCAGATGTTTGCATCTTCAGAACACAGAAGAGACAAGCCTAGATTTTGTAGTATGTCAGATAAACACATCTGGAGGACCAAAGCACCCCCCCCAAAAAATTGCTCTATAATGGGATTGTCTTAAGGCGGGACATTCTGTCCTCAAAAATTTATGTAACGAAATTGCCATCCTTATTTCCCTTCCTGCAGGAAAAGCTTCTGGTGCCCATATTGCTGAATCATCAATTCCTCAGCCAAAGACAGATCGGTACATGTGGGATTTTGAAGTGTTCTCTCAGCCCTGGGAGGTTATTGGTTTTAGACCATATGCTGTGTTATGGCTTTATTTTAGTTTTCATGGTTGACATGTTGAAGGACCTATGAAAAACCTATTTCATTATGTACCTCCGGGGGGGGGAGGGGAGGCAGGGTAATAAACGCAATAAAATAGATTATATTACAAATTTAAAAGAGAAAACATTTCCACCCCGTGTCCTGCAAGAAAGTTAAAACAACTGCCTTACAATAAAAATACTGATTATTTATTCCTCACAGACCTGGAATTGCTTTTTTTTTTAATTGTCTTAAGGTTTAATTTTTTTTCAAGTCAAAGGGAAGAGTAACGACCCACAATGTACTAGCAATTCTCATACAAATAAAGCTGAGCAGGGAAACAATACGTTGGACTACAACTCCCATAATGCTCTGGTGACCAGGGGGGAAAAATCTAGCTTTGTAGTTCAAAAAAGGAAAAGAAACAAAACCTTTTCAAGATTCTACTTTTAGAAGCGGCTTACAACTTTCTGCAAGTTTTAACTGTTTCTATTCCAAACTGGGAAAAACATGGGGGGAAAAAAAGCAGGAAGCTGCACAGAGGCAGTTTCAAAGATGGGGGGGAAATATATAACGTCTTGGTTCGTCAGAGATAATTCCATCAAGGCCAGCGAGAAGACTACGCATTACCTTTTTCTTTGGGACCGGAGGCGGCCTGGTCCCCGCTTTGGGGGGAGAAGTGATCCCGTTGGTCTGTTCTTCCCACAAGGCCAAAATGGAGGAAGAGTGAACCATAGTGAGGTGGGGCAGAAGGCCACGGTGAAGGCAGTGACGGACATACTGTGGGGGGGACAAGATCCAGAGAGGACGAAAGCATTTTACAAAAGCTCATAGTTATATGAAACTAAATGGAAGGCAATCCGGGTATGTGTTTTCATAATTGCAGCAGAATCGTGGGTGTGGTTTTTTTTTTAAATCAAGTTTCTAGTCCCTATGAAAACAAGCCAAACCTATGCAGATAATTTGCCCATGCCATTGAGTTTGGCCTTCCCAGCATTCCTCCCCCCCTCCCTGGTTTATAAGGTTTCTTATAAACCTTATAAGAATTAGTGGTTGAGTTTTCCTCTTCCCTCCTCATTCCTTTTTCCTTTTGTATCCAGTCTTTTTTAAATTTTAACATTAAAAGCAGGCTGTCTTGGATTTTTTTATATTGCTATGTAAAGAGAGAGAGAGGGATAAATGGAAGAAACAAATGCATTGATTACAATTGTAAAACGGAACGAAGGAATGAAACGGTGAGGCTTTAACATACCTGGAATTGATACAAGGGATAATTCCCGTAAAGATATTCATATTTCCCATTAACTTGAAGGGCATAATCTTCTGGGCTGTTCACTTTTTGGTGGCGGAAAATGGTTGCTTGCTTTTTGATGGCGTAGCTCATGAGTGTTGCTGGGACCTCCTTGGGAGAGATTTGGAATGTAAAACTTTCCTGAAGGAAAAAAGGAGAGAGAACATAAGACAAAGTAAGAGAATTTTAAAAAGAAGCACAATTCATATTTCTTTTAAAGAGCAGGCACCCATGGTTAGTCTTATCTTGGCACAAGCTCTTGTAAACTGTAGCTGACTTCTGCGTTTTCCTCTTCCCTCTGCATCCTCTTCTCCTTTTGTGCCATGTCTCTTTATATTGCAAGGCTAAGAACCAAAAAAATATATATCTTGCTCTAATTTCCTGCAAATGGGAGGCAGTTTTTGAAAATGTTGGCCACGTAAAACTTGTTCGTCTTCAAGGTGCCATGAGGGTCTCGAGTTCCAGTGCCGACAAGGGAGCAAACACCATTATTGCCAATTCTATTATAGCTCGCTCCCTCCGGTGGCCAGTTCTGGCAACTTCATCATTAGAAATATATATATACTATTTGGAGTATTTCCTTTAATATTTTTAATATTTCCCAACCGTGGGTAAATGAATCAGCAGATTCTGATTCCATGGATAGCGGGGTCCTACTGTACCATGCTTTAAAGTTACTCGGATTCAAAATCCACTCGGGCTTACCCCTCCGGATTCGAACTTGACATTGACGAAAAGGTTCTTGTTTGGGATTTGAAGGGGGCTTTTTTTCCCGAGCCCGTTAGCTACGGGTTCCAGCTGGACCGGGAAGCTGTACTCCATCCAAGCCTTCCAGCTGAGCTGCTGGCGCCGGGCTGCTCTTTCCTCACAGAACTGCTGCATTTGGGTGCGAAAGTCATTCACTTCCGGGTCACCGAGGGAATCGAACTCGTGTAGCCCTGAATAATAAAAAAAAAAATCCCATTTTTTTATATACACAGACACAGAGGTCCAAACTTGGTTCGTTTGCAGAATTTAATAGCACCCTTGCTTGCATGAAATCAGGCCTCTCTTTTTTAAATTTAAAAAAAAAATCAAGTCTTAAGTTCCTAGTCCTCATGAAGATGAAACTGTATTAAAGAGGATTATTTAGGCTAAAGAACTACAAGGACACAAGGATGTTCTCCAGGAAAATAGAACTCAAATACTGTTTTCGTACAAGGTCTCAAAGAACCACGTTTCCTCTAGTATTTTTAAAAACATTTCTGTCATAAACCTCAATGGCCATCATCTGCTCCTCTTAACACTGCATCAACACAGAATACTCCTTATACAATTTGTGGGGTTGAATGCTGTATATGTAACAGCTAATTACGTCCAGCTTTTAAAATCCCATTAAGGAAACTTGTGTTTCTATGTACTCACTTCAGCTAGAGAACTGTGCCTCTTAATGCCTCCTGGTAAATCCACGAGGTTCAAAGGAGCAGCAGAGGCTTTTCTGGGGTGGCTACGTGCCTGACATACCTGGAAAGGGTCAGGCTGGAGGAAGAGGGGCCCCGATCAAAAGAAGATCACTCCGACCACTGGAAAAACCTCACCTTTGCCGATCAGGAGGCTGACCTGGGAATTGATCAGCTTCTTCGCCCGGTCCCCTTCCCGGGCCACCAGCCGCAGGACGGGAAGGAAGGGCTGGATGTCACAAAGGCGCCGCTGCTCGTCCTCCAGCTCCTGTCTCTCGGCGGTCTGGTTGATGCACGTGAAGACGTACGACTCGGGGTCACTGAGCATGTGGAAAAGAGGCTCATACTGGGCATGCTGCCAGAGCACCTGAAAAAGAGGAGACGCGTTGCCATTCGAACCCACAACGATTTCCTCCGATGCTAGGTGCTCTCCGTCTTTCCAGAACTTGGGAAAGTTAATTTTTTCAGGATGCAACTTTTATAACTTCCAAGCAGGGGATTCTGGGAGCTATCCTCCATCCAAGTAACTTTTTGAACCTCAGAGTCCTTCCTATCAGCTTTTCCTTTAAACTGGAAAAGTTGGGGAAGGGGATTAGGGGAAGGAAGGAAGGACGGAAGGAAGGAAGAGGGAGGGAGGGAGGGAAGGAAGGAAGGACGGAAGGAAGGAAGAGGGAGGGAGGGAGGGAAGGAAGGAAGGACGGAAGGAAGGAAGAGGGAGGGAGGGAGGGAAGGAAGGAAGGACGGAAGGAAGGAAGAGGGAGGGAGGGAGGGAAGGAAGGAAGGACGGAAGGAAGGAAGAGGGAGGGAGGGAGGGAAGGAAGGAAGGACGGAAGGAAGGAAGAGGGAGGGAGGGAGGGAAGGAAGGAAGGACGGAAGGAAGGAAGAGGGAGGGAGGGAGGGAAGGAAGGAAGGACGGAAGGAAGGAAGAGGGAGGGAGGGAGGGAAGGAAGGAAGGACGGAAGGAAGGAAGAGGGAGGGAGGGAGGGAAGGAAGGAAGGACGGAAGGAAGGAAGAGGGAGGGAGGGAGGGAAGGAAGGAAGGACGGAAGGAAGGAAGAGGGAGGGAGGGAGGGAAGGAAGGAAGGACGGAAGGAAGGAAGAGGGAGGGAGGGAGGGAAGGAAGGAAGGACGGAAGGAAGGAAGAGGGAGGGAGGGAGGGAAGGAAGGAAGGACGGAAGGAAGGAAGAGGGAGGGAGGGAGGGAAGGAAGGAAGGACGGAAGGAAGGAAGAGGGAGGGAGGGAGGGAAGGAAGGAAGGACGGAAGGAAGGAAGAGGGAGGGAGGGAGGGAAGGAAGGAAGGACGGAAGGAAGGAAGAGGGAGGGAGGGAGGGAAGGAAGGAAGGACGGAAGGAAGGAAGAGGGAGGGAGGGAGGGAAGGAAGGAAGGACGGAAGGAAGGAAGAGGGAGGGAGGGAGGGAAGGAAGGAAGGACGGAAGGAAGGAAGAGGGAGGGAGGGAGGGAAGGAAGGAAGGACGGAAGGAAGGAAGAGGGAGGGAGGGAGGGAAGGAAGGAAGGACGGAAGGAAGGAAGAGGGAGGGAGGGAGGGAAGGAAGGAAGGACGGAAGGAAGGAAGAGGGAGGGAGGGAGGGAAGGAAGGAAGGACGGAAGGAAGGAAGAGGGAGGGAGGGAGGGAAGGAAGGAAGGACGGAAGGAAGGAAGAGGGAGGGAGGGAGGGAAGGAAGGAAGGACGGAAGGAAGGAAGAGGGAGGGAGGGAGGGAAGGAAGGAAGGACGGAAGGAAGGAAGAGGGAGGGAGGGAGGGAAGGAAGGAAGGACGGAAGGAAGGAAGAGGGAGGGAGGGAGGGAAGGAAGGAAGGACGGAAGGAAGGAAGAGGGAGGGAGGGAGGGAAGGAAGGAAGGACGGAAGGAAGGAAGAGGGAGGGAGGGAGGGAAGGAAGGAAGGACGGAAGGAAGGAAGAGGGAGGGAGGGAGGGAAGGAAGGAAGGACGGAAGGAAGGAAGAGGGAGGGAGGGAGGGAAGGAAGGAAGGACGGAAGGAAGGAAGAGGGAGGGAGGGAGGGAAGGAAGGAAGGACGGAAGGAAGGAAGAGGGAGGGAGGGAGGGAAGGAAGGAAGGACGGAAGGAAGGAAGAGGGAGGGAGGGAGGGAAGGAAGGAAGGACGGAAGGAAGGAAGAGGGAGGGAGGGAGGGAAGGAAGGAAGGACGGAAGGAAGGAAGAGGGAGGGAGGGAGGGAAGGAAGGAAGGAAGGAAGCCAGCGAAAGAGAAGGAAGGAAGGGAAATAGAAATCCATCCTTTTCTTTCTTTCCGATTTCCTTTCCCTTCTAAAATACCCAGACACAGACAAAAGGTAGCCTTCAGGCTGACTCTGATGTTCCACAAGGAAAGCCATCAAGGAAAACCCCCTTGTGAATCATCACCTTGAAAACAACCTCAGCTAAAATCATTTGCCGGCTGGTCTTCCAGAAGCCAGAAACGAAGCGGAGCAGCTGAGTTTTCAGCCACAAGCCCTGTTCTTTCAGACTCAAGGAAAGTATTCATTTATTTAAAATATTTTTACCCCGCCTTTCTCCTCCAATGGGGCCCAAGGCAGCGAAGAAAACCCAATGGTGTTTTATTGGATGCGTGCACGACTCCGAAGCCCCTCTCGCTGTGGTGCGAGAGAGACAGGGTGGGACGAGATCTGATCAGCCACTTGTTCGAAAAAGTCACTTTAAGCTAAACGATCAAGTTGGGTTCCCGCTTTCCTTTCTTGGCTTCTGTCCTAACCATCGACCCCAACAGAGCTTGCCTAGTCACCCAAATTTTGCAAAAGTAATAGCTAAAACCTCAATATTTTTAAGCTACCCAGTTGCAACTGGTGTAACCCTTGCTAGGTGTTAGCAAAAATTAAGAAGTTAGGCTAGGCATTTGCTGATGCCCAGTTGCAACTGGTGTAACCCTTGCTAAATTAAGAAGTTAGGCTAGGCATTTGCTGTGGCACACACACTAACGTAGGTCAGTATGCAATTTAGATAAATAGGTTACACCAGTAGGCATAATGAACATGATTTTGGCACATAACATCACTGTGACAACCCTATTTTTTTCCCCCTGTTTCATAAGCTATCCTGGTTTGGTCACATCCTGAGAAGGCAGGATTTCCTGGAAGTGATTTTGGCACATAACATCACTGTGGCAACCCTATTTTTTCCCCCCTGTTTCATAAGCTGTCCCGGTTTGGTCACATCCGGAGAAGGCAGGATTTCCTGGAAAAGACAATAAGGCTGGGAAAAGTTGAAGGCAGCAGGGAAAGAGGAAGACACCAATACAAGATGGACTGACTCCCTAAAGGAAACCCCAAGAGCTGAGCAGGGCCGTTGAGCACAGGACACCTTGGCAATCGCTCATTCATAGGGTCGCCATGAGTCAGAGGTGACTTGACGGCACATCACAGCCGCCAACCATTTGATGCTGGGATTTCTGGATCACAGCTGCCAACCATTTGATGCTGGGATTTCTGGATTTTCTTTTCAACCTCACCTTAGGAGCAAAAGCAGGTTCTCAGGTCAGGACAAGCCCCCATCCCCAAACCCTACTGATGCTTTCTTGTTGCAACAGGTGAATGCCACCGCCGAGCCCGGCACGTCCGACAGAGAAGAACCAAAGAAGCCGTACCTTTTTGATGGTGCGTAGGGTTGCATGGCAGGAAATGGGGAGGGTTAAAAAGATGCCGGTGGGTAAAAGGAAATCCACAGGAATACTCTGGTTGGTCTCTTTGGACCAAAACTCCACCGGGCAATAAATGCCAAGCGTCATCCTTGTGCCTTCTCATTTACGGCCTGCAGTTAAAGAGAGGAGGGAAAAAAATTAAATTTGCATAAAATAGAAGATCTGGGTTAGATTGAAAGAAAGAAAGAAAGAAAGAAAGAAAGAAAGAAAGAAAGAAAGAAAGAAAGAAAGAAAGAAAGAAAGAAAGAAAGAAAGAAAGAAAGAAAGAAAGAAAGAAAGTGTATGTTTTCTGGGTTCTTCTGAAAACAGGTCAAGCAAAAAAATCAAGAAGGGAATTTTCCATCCGGAACCCTCTCGGTTTAAAATTGAAAAGCAAACCTGCAGGGCTGGTGGAAAGTAGCAACAACAACAGGGCCTAGAAACTTTTTTTTCAATTAAAACGGATAAATTTTGAGGCAGGGGGAGGAATGTGTTCCCAGGCATGAAAAAATGTAAGTTTCAAGAAGCCTTTGAGTGTCACAACATCAGCAGAACGCAAACGGGTATCCTAGTTTCTTCTGTTGTCTGGTCTCCCCTGGGGGACCAGAGAGAAGTTTTCGTCGTCACTTAGCAACCCCAATTTCAAACTTCTCCCTCTTTTTTCCCATAATGCTCCTCTGTGGCATCCATTTTGTAATGGGAGGGTTAGGGTGTCTCCCCATGTCCCCTGGTGAATTTTGATAAATAAAACTCCCAGGTCTCAAACAGATTTGCCCACTATCCTGTGTCCTTGGACCTTGCCGAGCTACACAACAGGCAGAAATTCAACAGAGAGCGTCCCTGCCCCCCCATCACCACCTCACCATGTTCAGAGCCACCATTAAGGTTGCCATTTTTTACCCACCATGCACCTGTTCAAAGCCTGTGAGACACCCCTGGGTGCTGTTTCTCAGCTTCAACCAGCCTTTTTATCAGCCTGCAGCACCTTGGGGGGGGGCAGAGTTGCATTTCCTCACCCGTAAGTAAGAAGCAGCCACGTTTCCCCGAAAAATGCACGCTGTGGGTTTGGTTTGGTTTTCTGGCGGTTTGGGGAGTGTGGGAGGGGGAATAGATTGTTGTTGTTGTTGTTGTGTGTGCGCGCGCTTGTTGATTATCTGTCAGTCCTGTGAGGTATCGCCAGAGGTCCAGATGCAATTACCACAAAACCACACGCCTCCGTTTCTAGGAAGAAATGGAAAGGAAGTCGGGGTGTGCGTGCGCGTGCAGGAACTGAAGCCCAGAGGCTCCTCCAGCCGCCCCTGACAGCTGGCAATGTGCACATTCACACATGCTAGTGTGCACTGACACATACGGGTGTGCACAGGCCCCCCAAAAAAGGGGGGGGGCTTTTTTCCAGTTTGTTTGTGTTTTTTGTTTTATTGCAATGAGCTCAGTGCACCGGAGCAATTTATATAACTGTTACATCCTTGACCTGGAAACTTAAATACTCTGTTGCTGGAGAATGCTGCTCTGCCAGGGGGCTGTTTGCCAAGAATCTAGTTATGCTCCTAGAATCACTCCCGGTCCCCAATTGTGATGGAAAATATAAGTGTTTTTTCTTTGCTCTCCACTTATGCACCCACCATAAAAGCAAATATCCCACACACACACACACACGCCCCACCATAAATCTGCCCATCTCAAAGTTAGGGAGACAGGCCTAGAAATTAGCTCTCGTTGCTAATTGTTCATTATAATCATACTGTTTGCAAGGTAACCTTGATCAGAGAAGAGTAGTATCTTTGAGAACTTACCGTATTTTTCGCACCATAAGACGCACTTCCCCCCCACAAAACGGGGGGGTGGAAAGTCTGTGCGTCTTATGGAGCGAAGAAAACAGATTATATTTTCCTGTTTTCTTCTAAAAAATTGGTGCGTCTTATGGAAAGGTGTGTCTTATGGTAAATTTCTGATTGAATGGTGGGGGGGTGGCGGCCCAGAAGGGAACAATTCTAGATGGGGCGTTTGAGACCCCACCTTTTAGAAAGGTCAAGAAGCCCTTGGTCAAAGGTGTTTTCAGAAAGTGGCAGAAAACAGGAAGCGAATGAGTTACTCCTGTGAGTAAGAAGGAAGCACTGTCAAAACCCCCAGCCAAAAAAGTGGACACACAAACATCCCATAATCTCTGAAATAGCGCTAGAGAGGAATGGGAGATGAATCCAATAGATGGGCCTCTGGTGGAGGCTTGAAGGCCGATGGGCTTTTTTACCTTTCAAAACCGACACTTTTAAGACAAACCTGGCCAGGATGCTTTGAGAGTTTATTTGCAAAACTCAAGAAATTAAGGGCACCCCCACGGAGGGGGGGGAGGGGCTGGTCCACCTTCTGATTAATTTCCTGGCCTCGCCATTCAAACAAGCCAGGGAGGATCTGCTTATTATTTTCCGGACTCGTTGGATTTCTATCACACCTTTCCACCCCCAAAAAATCGGCACCCGAGGCATCCCATAATAAGGCTAGGAAGAGGTGGAGATGGGAGCCTTAAACAGATGTAACCACGGCACCATTCCGGAACAAAGCCCCGCCTTAAAAGACTATCCATTAAAATACATCTATTTATTTGTCATCAACCCAAAAAAGTAAAGCCCTTTTCTCCAGCCAACGAAGCCAAAATTTCCAATTTATTGAGGATATTTCTCCTCGTGCTTTTCCCACCAAACAAACAATGGGAAAGCGCTCTCCACCCGAGGAAGCCTCTCCAGAAAGGGGCTCCGGGGAACGCAAACGCCGAAGGAAACAACGGGGCGGTTGTGGGGCTGTTTCCCCCCCCAGAAAGCACTCTGAACATGCTCAGAGGTGCCGCGC